ATTCATGGAGATTCGTTTTGGGTGTTTGAGCGTTATGCGTGACTTGATGCCGTGATGGAATGACGAGCTCAAGCACGCCCCCGATGAATACAACAGGTATACAACACGAATACAACACGTTTTCCAGCACGTCTGTACGACTTTACCTACCCCTACGGCCCGTCATGGCCGAGCTGCTCTACACTCCCATCACACACAACTGAGCCACCCGAATTATTGATCAGCATGGCTCATGAGGAAATGGCACAGGCAGGAGGCGGAAGCGTCCGCGAAGCGCGAGGGAAGCAGAAGCAGAGAGTACGGCCATCTCAGGACCGAAGAGAAAGAGAGCCGGGGAAGCGGCGGTGGGGGGGAAGAAACGGCGACCGGGCACTGCTGTAGTAGAAGCGAGTAGGGCGACCGAGGCAGCACTTGTGGCGAACGATGTACCCGGCTGATGTTGTTGCGCCCTGTTTCCCTCCCCGCTGTGTGCTATGCTCCTTTAGGTACAGACACTCCCCGCTTGAAGAACACAACAATCTCAGAAACATGGTGCCCCGCAGATGTGAAAAAGTAGGGGGGGCAGGGGGGGTAGTTTTTCCACCATTCGACCCCCCCCAGAAAATGGGTTTTGAGACCACGGGCTCCCCATTTTTTGTGGACTATAGAGCTAATGTGAGAAACAACAACAACAACAACGCGAGACAGAGAAAAGCTGCCATGTTTCGCGCAGACTGCAATTTTGCAGGCGTGTACAGCAGCAAACTACAGTTTCCTTCGCGTTAACGGTGGTTTACTCGCTAATTTACCGCCAATAGGTGGTGATGGCCCTCCCATCGTGAAGAAAAATCGGGAAAAAAAGGAAGGTGCAAACAAAGTTTGGCGCTAATGGGGATTGAACCCGCAACCTCGGGCATTGAGTAACCACACATGGATTCTTTCTGTCAAACTTTAAGGCAATGAGAGGACGCGTCATTCGAATACGCCTCTTCGTTTTTTTTTCGCGCTTCGCGCGAAATAAATATAACTCGTTCCTGGGTTGCCCTACCCATGGTCGCTGAGCCGCTGCAGCACCTGTAGATCCTGGATGATCAACAGCGGTCTGCTGCATGCAGCCGCACACTGCGTGTGGGTGTATGGAAAGATTCATTCCATCTTAATAGCGGTTCGTCTGCTGCCGGCTTGAAGCCATGCGGCGAACCGACGTGCCAGTTCAAATCTGCACTGCTGGTGTCACTGGTTCATCAGTAGTCTATCCGTGCGGGCGACCCATGCACGNTGGGTTGCCCTACCCATGGTCGCTGAGCCGCTGCAGCACCTGTAGATCCTGGATGATCAACAGCGGTCTGCTGCATGCAGCCGCACACTGCGTGTGGGTGTATGGAAAGATTCATTCCATCTTAATAGCGGTTCGTCTGCTGCCGGCTTGAAGCCATGCGGCGAACCGACGTGCCAGTTCAAATCTGCACTGCTGGTGTCACTGGTTCATCAGTAGTCTATCCGTGCGGGCGACCCATGCACGCGTTTTGTGGTTGGACCGAGAAGACCCGGGGGCGGCCGCCCTGGACGACCTGTCTGTGCGATATGGTCGAGAAGGTGTCCATGCCGGAGAGTGCCAAGGACCTGGACGACGCTAGGTCTAAGCCGCGGGTGTTGACGGACAACTTGTTTGTCGAGAGCGCCTCTGGCCTCACAGAAGAAGAAGTGCTCAGCGCAATGCGCACTTGGCTTAGTGTAGAGGACGGCGATGAAGAGGTCTTGAGGCAAGAGGTAGAACTCGAGATGGAAGAGGTAACGGAGAACATGTCAAACGTACACGTCGAGGAGGACGTGTCCAGTGAAGAGGAAGGCGATCACGGTAGGCCAGTCGTGCATAAATCTACGATATCAGAGGGCGAGGTTCACTCTCGTCTCGAAGATGTCCGCTCTTACTTGTACACACATGGAAGAAAAGGCGAGTACAGCGAAGAAACGGCGTACCTTCTTTCGAAGACTGTGCATTCGTTTACTCATGAAACTCAGGTCAATCAAGCGAAGAGCAAAGGAGGGGGGGGAGGTGCAGGCGACTCTTCGGGATATATGGCGGGTGTAGTTTTTGGTTTCGAGAACAAAGAAAGCACTTTTTTTATTGCCAACGTTCGTTGTTTGCCTTGGGTGAAGTCTCGTGAGGTTGAATTTGGCCTTTGTTTGTTTGTGTTGTGTTGTGCCTCGTTTTGACCTTTCTTTTGGGAGGCGCGGTGTCCTCTTTGTCGCTGTGCTTTCCGGAAATTTATTTTTGGTCTCTGCGTTTCTGCGTAACCTACATTTCCCTAGTGTGGTTTTACAACCTTCGATATTTCTCAGGTGCGGTAGCGAGATCTTCTTGGGCAAGATATTCACGGGGAGGACAACGCCTAAATAAAAACAAAATAACGCAAATAATTGAGCCCATATCAACACCACCAGCGCACTACCGTCGTCGTGTACATTCATGTACGATGCGTAGTAGGTCGTAGAACACCATCATCGCTTTCACCGTTTTGGTGGTACAGTACGGGGAAATTCAAACGATGGTATGCAAGTAAGCATGTGTTGCAGCACAATAATAGCAGCAGCAGTAAGTGGTTGCGACCTTCAAATCACCTTGTTGTGTCGTAGGTTTCAAACAACACCTCTTGTGGTCGCCTTTCTGCTGCGAATGCGCACCTTTTGACATATGTTTCGCCTTCATTGGCCCCGGGGATGGTGCGTTAGTGACCCAGGAATTTTAAAGACACTTCCCCGCGTTAAAGACACTTTTTTGGGGAGGAAAACGTGGTGTGTCTTTAAAGCGGGGTCGACTGTAAGTCCTTTGTATTGCCTTCGGCCTCTCTCTGCTGTGTTTTTTTTTTCATGACCTCCCTGCCCACTCTGCTATTATGTTGGGTGCCTTGATCTCGCTTTTGCTGTTGCCTTTGTTTTTGTACGTCTGGCTGTCTGCCCATTTGCCGCCTCTTTGTCCTGTCTGCTCCGTTACTCCCATGCCCTGGTGCGTAGTGCCTGGTGTTGGTACGTTACCCCTTTGATTTTTTCTTTGGGCGGGTGTGGGAAGCGTTCTCCTCCTTAATTTTTGTTTTCGGAAGATTTTGATCGGTTTCCGAGGGCTCTTTTCTCGAACGGTCGGTGCGATACCTGTTATTTTCTTTCTATCATTTTGTTTTCTTTTTCCTAGTGGTTTGTGCCCTATGTTTGTTTTGTTTCCCCGCGGCGTCGTATGTGCCGGGTTTTGAGACCACGGGCTCCCCATTTTCTGTGGACTATATACTCTAATGTGAGAAACAACAACAACAATATAGACTTTATTGTTATCTTTTTCCCTCCCTTCATTGAATTCTGTCGTCTGCCCCTCTGGCCCCTATCCTTCACTTCTACTAGCTAGACGGCCCAACCGGGGTCACACAGGAGGGGGGGGGGGGGGGGGGGGGNCTGCCTGAGATATTTTTATGGGAAGAAGGGTGCAGCAATCTCTTCCCTCGCGACTTATAAGTCGATCAAGTTTACTAACAACGCGCTTTGCAGCGCGGAGACCAGGATATAATTATTGAGAAAAACTCACTCTGTCGGGACTCGAACCCATGACCTGGCCCTTAGCAGGCTGCGAAGTTACCCACCAGACCACCGGGGCGCCCTATATACCATGTATATACATATTATCCCATTATTGGACTCTGTCGTCTGCCCCTCTGGCCCCTATCCTCCAGTTCTACCAGCTAGACGACCCAACCGGGGTCACATAGGAGGGGAGGGTTGGCCCCCCTCCTGCGGTTCCTGCCTGAGATGTTTTTATCGCGAGAGAGGTACGGCAATTCCTTCCCTCGCGACTTATGAAGTCGATTAAGTTTACTAACAACGGATGGTTCGGATTCTTGTCTGTCTTCAATCCAAAGCGAAAGTGATCTAGTCTACACACACAAATTCGCTAAGGCGAAACGTTGAATACCTACGGCGAACCTCCCTGAAGTCTACATGAATAACGTCTCATAGAAGATACTCTACATTATATTACATCCAAGAAAGACTCTATATATACCCGTTCGAGATACTGTACCCCGTTGGGATGTGTTGTTTTCTTTACAGCGAAGGTTGAGAGGGAAACCTATTGTTCACCGGGTGTACTGTAGTTCAGATAGACTACACATGTGCTAGATATCACAGACTACCTCTTCGCGGTCAGTCATCAATCCACACCACCTCACACAGTTTCCCGGCATCTAAAAACAAAGGCAGCAAAAACTGCGGATCAATCACATGTACATGTGGACGGCAGAGTGTGGTTTGTTTTTGCCCACTGATAGCACACTCGTGACGCCAACCGTAGCTCTCGTTATTCATCTTCCTCTGATAAGCCCGATACCACTGTCCCCAGAGGGCAGAGAAACTATCTTGTCGTACGGCAATGCAGGCGGAACCCTCGCCCCTACATCAATCGTTGCCAACGATACCGCTCCAGGCTTGTCGCCACCTACGATGCTTGTCCTACTGATATTGCCAGCTACACCCTCGCCAAGACCAGCCGCAATTCGCGATCCGCCTCGACTGGCTGTACCGCCTCGCTCGTCTTCGCTTGTAGTTGAGGACGAGAAGTTCATAGACGTGAGTTTTAGTGGACGCTTCGGCCCCCCTGAGGTTTGAGTGGTGAACGGGGGTGGGAGGGGGTTGAGGGGACGGGTTGCCTAGATGGAGAGGGCTTGCTCTTGCTTCCGGGCGTCAAGGAATCACCATCATGTGACGGAACACGTCCAATTAATGGACGTGTAGCTACTTCAGGGTTGACCATGCACGCCCGGGAGGGCTCTGCGTCATGAACTCACAGTAACATCATCTCCCCAGAGGGTAAGAATATATGCTAGAGAAGCGTGTGGACTGGCGGAGTTGGAGAAAAACGACCAACCAACCTACCCCACGCAATGGGTATCTCTGTGTCTCCTGAGATGAGCTCCGACACTTTTTTTCCCTCCTAGTAAGACAACATCCTCTGCTTGCGACGGTCATGAGTGAGAGCGCACACGTTGGCATTATAGCTGAGCAGCAATCAATATCATTCGCACATCGCGTTGTCTACTGCTGCGCGTCAGACGCGCCTCACACACACATTTTGGGTGCTTATTTTTTTCGGTTCGTGCTCCGCAATGTATCCATGACCGTGAGGAGGCTTTTTGCATGTTCGGGTGCACGATTCCGGGGCGTAAGCAGACAGATTTGTTGAGATCGCAACACACGCTCGCATGGAACCGTGGAAGTCAAATATTGGCACGTTTTGTTTGGAACCAGCACGGTGTGCGAGGAAAAAGTCAGAACAGTAGATTCGTAGGGTGCGATCCCTTCCTCACCTCCAGAGCCAATGCGCCGTGCTGTCGAAAGCGGCGCCCACTTCACGCTGCCGTGGTGAGGTTGCCCCCGCCCGCCGCGGTGCTGCCCGCCGACCGCCAGGCCGCCAGCACCTTCCGCGAGGGACCCGGGAGAAGCAGGGCCCGCTTTTAACTTGAGCGTCAAGGCCTGCACCAGGCACTCGTCCCCGCCGGGTATTTTTCCTCCGCGATCGCCACAAAAAAAAACACTCCTACGATTAACGACGATTGGAGACCCAGAAGGATCGAGCGCACGGGCGGGCGTGAAAGGAAGTCAGCGAAAACTACCGGGGTCTCTATGAAGGATGTGCGTTGCTGTTCGCACCGAGGTCGTGGATTTTTGTTTTGAATGCACAACGTGGCGTGAAACACACGACAAACTTAGAAAATAGAGCAAACTTAGAAGATAGAGCCAAAGGTTTGAGCGTAAGCAGCTCCCGTTCGACGAGGTCTCCGAGAAAAGAGTGGTACTCCCCAATGGGGACCTTTTAGCCATTTTCTGGGCCTTCGCGCCTCTTGCGGCAGTACAATCTACTTTCCACGGTAGTTCCGTAGCTTTCGTAGTTACTCAGGCTTTGGTGTCGACCCCGTCTGCTCATCGGGGATACACAAGTGACTTCCCAAGGGCGTTGTGCCAACTGAAGCAGATCTACGCATCAGCCTCTCTTCATTGTGTGCTACACCTACAGTAGTTGCTATGTAGTTTCAGAGTCGGCCATGCTACGACAAGGGGGGTGATCGGTCTCGAAAGAGGGCCGGTCAATGTCAAGTAAGCTAGGCAAGCAGATCCCCCCCCACACTCTCTTTAGCTCACGCACTCACCTCGAGGATCCACAGAGAGCGTTTGGCGGAGGCAATCCGTCGTGTGGTCTGAACGGGTTAAACGAGTGGGCTATCGGTCCTGTCGGGTACCTGGTCACGAGCGACGGTGCGAAAAATCCATGGCGCATCGAACACCAAACGAAAGATAGACAGTGGGGAGAAAGGGACGGGATAACTGCAGGTCGTCCTGTTGGTCTTTAACCTTAATTGCGGTGATTTGGTTCAAGTGTGCTTTGTGGGAGGAGCGGAACGCCCCAGAGAGGACGACTGCCTAATGCCGGAGGATAGCTTGCTGTGCCGTCCCATGCCCCAACAAGCACTGTGGAGGACAAGTTGGTCTAGAAATAGCATGGTAGAATGCTGACGCTTGTGGCCTGCACAGCGAATGTCCCCCCAGCTTACCTATCGTTGATGTCCGTGAACACAACCCGAAGATATACGAATGTGCTCTGCCGTTGGGTGTAACACAAACATGCCTAATGGACGAACCCTGTGATTTAAAAGCGAGCAACACGTCGCCACACCCATTCCTAGTGCCCCAAACATATCACAGCGAAAGGTGCAAAGTCACAAAGACACCTATCGCTCGGACGTCGGGCACTCATCGCGACAACGTCTCACACCAGCATGGTCTTCCCTAGGAAATAGCAGTGTGCAGTATCAAAGCTAAGCGACCAGGGTACAAACGGACAAGCTTACCCTGCCATACCACCGCCTTGTGTGGCCACCATCGACTTTCTCGTGATGCCTCCTACTTGACCGACTGTGACATACTCCCGCCGGTTACCCCCCGCCATCGATGCCACTCCTCCCGCTCCTCCTGCACCGCCACCACCACCTCCTGCGGTGCCCCCGACGCCTCCACCGCCTTTGGTGCCGACAAGAACGCCGTTGCCACAAACTCCGCCACTGCCGATGCCGGGGGCAGCGAGCCCCCACATCCCGCTGGAGGTAGCGCTACTGGGAGCCTTGATAATGCCGACCCCGGTGCTTCCCCCGGCCATAGCCTCCGACAGCCGTTTTTCTTCCATGGTGATGTCGGCAGAGTCTACTGCTGCTAAGGAAGGGAATAAGGATAGAAGGGCTAGCCGACTATAAGGACGCCTGTTGAGAGACGGAGGGCGGGGGGGGGGGGGGGGGGGGGG